GCAGGAGATCCGTCCTGGGGACTCAGACAGCAACGCTACCGGCTCCGAGAGGACGGCGAACGTCGCCTCCCGGCAGAGGGCGGAGAGATCAGAGGAGAGTTGTTCCTGAGTTAAAACCTGCTACAACAGCAAACTCCAGTACGCTCAAGGTGAATGGTTTCCCACTGCAATGTCTTACGCATCACCAAAAAATAACGTGTAAAACTCAAGCTTACCAAGAGAGAAAGTGTTGATTTTTGCTTGTGCCTGCACGAGTGAGTGATCTGCTAAGTTGAGGAAGCTGGCAATTCTAGTGAGGAGTCCAGGTGAGGCCAGGTTCTGCGAGCATGGGTCAGGTCCATGCTGAGCCCAGGCAGACCCCGTGACCGGAGTCAGGGAAGGAGGCAGGAAGGGGGCTTGCTGGGCACCAGAGACTGTAATTAGCAAGGGCGAGGAAGAACCGTAAACAGTAACAGAACACTCTCCCAGGGTGCCCAGCTCAAAGGCATCAGTATACAAAGGATTCAGGTGCAGTTAAAGGGCAATTTGGCCAATAGACGGAAAAGCAGAAAGTCAAATCTGATGCAAAATGAGCTGTTCTGAGACCAGTAATCCATGGCGTTGCAATTTTGGTGTTTAAAGATAGAACACTTGTTCTACGGAAAAGTGTATCTCACTTTAAAACCAACCTCTTCACGGGAAGGGAAACCAAAAGCAAAGTCCCTGCGGTCACCCTTATTTACTGCTGAAGCAGAACGAAAACCTGCCCCACGGGCTGGGCTTCCCGCCCGGGACTGCACAGGCTTTCCAGAGCCAGCCTGGGCCCAGCAAGCCGCGGCGAGGACAGGCTTCGTCCGTCTCCTCTGCACTGGAACACAGTGGGGGACACGCTCCCTGCTTACGCCTACGTTGCTTAGTGGAACCTAGGGTGTATATTGCTTTATGCTTGCTGAAGGAGGGGATTTCACTTTCGGTGAGCACTGAAGCCTGCTGGCTGCAGCCAGTGGTGGAGCAGACCTCAGGATGAGGCTGGCCTGACGGCAAAGCTCCACCCATCAGTATCAGTCTGGAGCATGGCCTCCATCTGTTCTCGTCAGCTGCAGTGACCTACAATAAATAATACATTCTATTTACAGGTTCTAGTAAGAGCTCTCTTTAAGGGAAGACAAAACAGTGTTACTTTGTTGTTACTGAACTAGCCTGCACAGAAACGTCTGTGTAATCTCCCAAAACACAGCAAATCCATCTGAGAATCACAGGACTCACACAGCGGACAAGAGCAAACACCTCTAGGTGGATGCAGCGGTGCCGTATGGGCCTTCCTTGAGGTCAGGACTGAGTCTGTCAACCAGCAAGCTGCCCTCGGAACCCCGCAGGTCTGGGACTGGAACGCTGCTTTAAGAGAAGACTTCCGAATGGGACTGACGTGTATCTCTGCAGGTATAAATAAGGTTATTCAGAAATACCGACACGGGGGGTGCTGTCACAGCGCGGTGGAGGCCCTGGTGCTGCGGAACGAACCAGGCATCCACCGGGTTCTGCTTCCGGTGGGTGCAGGCATGGGACTTCTTACTCACGTAGCTGGAAAGGACATTCTAGCATGGGGATTAGCCCGGACAGAACCACCACGGGTATGCATTCAAAATGGGATATTTACAAGAAACATGTATATATAATATTTATATATTCAATTCAAAGTCTGGAAAAACAAGACTTTTAGTCAGTCACTGAACTTATTGCAGAATGAGGTAACTGAGATGTTCACAGAGTGGGACTGATGCAGCTCAGGTCCTCAGAGTCAATCCCTCCTGTCTGGATTCATCAGTCATGGTTTGATCGTCTCCATTCGCAGAATAAGCTCCAGCTTTTCTATGTACAGAGAGTGAGGTGGTGCCCCACCCAGCCCTGCCCTGTGGTCCTGAGTGCACCCCGACGTGGGTCAGGGGTGCCCAGCTTCACCTCAGAACTAGTCATCGACAGAAAGAACTAAGGACGTCCCTTATAGATTGGTCTCGTCCCAGGCAGGATCGTTCATGTTCTTCAGGACTTTCCTCACCAGCTTCTCTAGGTCTTTGCGGGCTCTCTGTTCTTCCTCTAGAGATTTCTTCATCTTTTTGTTATCCTGTAAATTAAGCAGACCACAGTACGTTCACTATCTTTGGCATTGCGTAGGGCTTCCTTTCCCCATATGGGTATCCTTGAGGAGCTAAGGCCTCAACTCATGAAATCCCACGTGAGCTGCCTATGGGCTGTGAGGTCATGGGGGTCCGCAAAGTTCAACCACCTGGACAGGGTGGCAGCAGCGCTCCTGACTATGCTGCCGCTCCCGGGATGGAAACGGTCCTAATGGCTCTTATTAAGGCCATGAATGAATCTCTATAGAACATACCGTAAGAAAATGGCTGGAAACTGCAGACGGGACGGCTCCTCTCCAGCCTTTTCGTCCACTCATAACCACCTTCCAGAGTTACAGAAAGGACTGGAAGTAACAGCCACTGACGGGTGCGGGAGCAAGTGGGGGAGCACCTGCTCTGTGCAACTGAACCCAGGCATGTCTCGGACGTAGGAGGCAGGCACAAAGGGACGCCTGCTGCCACTTGGGGCAAAGTGTGAACACGGAAGCCCGCCAGCCAAGCAAAGCAGTACCTGGAAGCCCTGTGGACACTGCTTAGAATGCAGAGCACGCGTCCAGTTCCACACGGCAACCTGCTCTCGGCTCTCTATCCCAGACCACAACTCTTCTCAGGCCGCTCCTCGGCCAAAAGAGCACCCCAACCTTCCCTTGCCTAGCTGGGCAGGGCATCAAAGCCACTCCTACTCACATTCCGTGCAACGGACACCCCAGCCTTCCCTCGCCTAGCTGGGCAGGGGACCAAAGCCACTCATACTCACATTCTGTGCAACAAACACCCCAGCCTTCCCTCACCTAGCTGGGCAGGGCACCAAAGCCACTCATACTCACATTCTATGCAACAAACACCCCAACCTTCCCTCACCTAGCTGGGCAGAGCACCAAAGCCACTCATACCCACATTCTATGCAACAAACACCCCAACCTTCCCTCACCTAGCTGGGCAGAGCACCAAAGCCACTCATACTCACATTCTGTGCACTGCCCAGAACACCCTTGGTTAGTCACCATGTCTGGCTCGCTAAACTGGCTTCGGGAGCCAAGGACCATGCAGTGGCAGAGGCTAATCTCAGGGCCCCTTGCAGGATTTGTCACCAGACAGAACTTTCGATATTTTAAATTATTCTTCCAACAGAATTTGCGATGGTTTATGACATCAAAATCAGTATTGTTCAAAAAAAAAAAAAAGAATTTAAACAAGTCACTTTATAGACAACCAACTGTTTTATCTGCTGGACTTCTCAAAGACATGACCTCCTTTTAGTTTTTGCTTACGCACAATAAGCTTTTTATTTTTATGAGACGGAGTCTCACTCTGTTTGCTCAGGCTGGAGTGCAGTGGCACTATCTCAGCTCACTGCAACCTCCGCCTCCTGGGTTCAAGCGATTCTCCTGCCTTAGCCTTCCAAGTAGCTGGGGTTACACGCACCTGCTGCCATGCCCGGCTAATTTTCGTATTTTCAGTAGAGATGGGCTTTTGCCACATTGGTGAGGTTGGTCTTGAACTCCTGACCTCAGGTGATCTGCCCACCATGGCCTCCTAAAGTGCTGGGATTACAGGTGTGAGCCACCACACCCGGCCAGCTTATTTTTAATATTGTTTTCTTTTCTCCCATTTGAAAAAAAAAAAAAAGATTGAAAGATGGATTATGACATACCTGTCTTAATTCTTGAACTTCATCCTTTAATGCATATACGGTATCCACAAGACTCCTGAAACAGGAAACAGAACACACACATGAACAGGGTGAGGCATGGAGAGGACACATGGAAACTTACCAGGAGACACTACGATGCTGAGTGGAGGACACGGGGCTGCTCTGCAGTACCCGTGTACTGTCTACATTCACAACTAAAAACTGTCAACCTCTGTGCACGGCAGGTTCAAGCCCAGTCAAGGGCAGCTTCAGTCTATGAAGACATTTTAAAAGTGAAGCTTCTGGTTGGGCACGGTGGCTCACACCTGTAATCCCAGCACTTTGGGAGGCCGAGGTGGGCAGATCACCTGAGGTCAGGAGTTGGAGGCCGAGGTGGGCAGATCACCTGAGGTCAGGAGTTGGAGACCAGCCTGGCCAACAGGGTGAAACCTCGTCTCGACTTAAAATACAAAAATTAGGCATGGTGGCGCAGGCCTGTAATCCCAGCTACTTGGGAGGCTGAGGCAGGAGAATCGCTTGAACCTGGGAGGCAGAGGTTGCAGTGAGCTGAGATCGCACCATTGCACTCCAGCCTGGGTGACAAGAGTGACACTCCGTCTCAAAAAAAAAAAAAAAAAAAAAAAGTGAAGCTTCCGAAGCCACACCCCCGCCCTCAGGGAGCTGTCTGAACTCCACTACCCCACTGCAGAGCTCAAATGCCTGCTTTAGAAAACTGGAAAACATCTTACTTTTCTTCTATCACTGTCTGACCATTACTTTTAGTTTCTTCCACTATAATTTTCTCTTCTTCTGGAAGCAAAACTTGTGGAGCAGATTCTTTGCGTGAACCTAGGAGCATGAAAAAATAACCAATCAACCTCGGGCGAACACCATGGCAGAATGAAGAAAAATGACTATACAACATCACTTAAATATTAAGTTCTATCAACTATGCATTTAAAAATGTTCATCCAGGCTAAAGGAGGGCATGTTTTACCAGGTTTCTTCACCCCTGTCTACTGAGCCCAGGCCCCTTCGTGACCAAAGCCGTAGAGAGGAAAGGAAACTGTAGCCTTTTTAAAATCTGAATTATGGATTGTTTAAACCTTAGCATTTTCAACAGGGAGGAGGTTACAGGTTGTGACCGTACTGCTCTGGCTATTCATTCCATTTTGAGCCACTGTTGCAAGAGTTTCAGCAAAGACATACGAGACCAATCAGAACATACACAGTGAGTGTTTATAAATCCAAGATCTGGCAATACAAACATTTTACTCTACAGCAACATTTAATAATCAAGATATTACAGCATCATAGCACATGGTTTAGAAAAAATAACATTTGGTCCTTTATGAAAACTTTATATTTCCTAAAATATAAAATAAACATTTTTCTAAATGAAAGCAAACTGCTCACAATGTCAGAGGAACATTTGTGTCATTTAACCAACACCTGCACAAGAGTTTATATGGGACAGGCCCTCAATAAATGTTGCAAAATACGTACTTTAGAAATCAGGAAATCAAAATACTCATTTTAAAAGGTGAGGAAAAGAATCAAATTGTATTTAATGATGCAGGGAGAAAATCTTTTCTTCAAGAAAATATTTTCTTGAAGGTCATACAGTATAACGTGTATCATTTATATTTTTGAAAATTATACCAGATGCAAATCAGAAGGCTATACTCTATCACAGAACACAAACGCCTGTAAGCGGTACTGCGATAAACATTTCTCCGTGAAGGGACACGCGTGTTTGAGACATGCTAACTATGGACACGGTGCTTGCGCTTGCTGGGTCTTTCTTCTGGCTCGCCTTTTGTGTGTTCCTAAAAGCGTGTCAGTGCTACGCAGCGTCACTGTCACAGGAAAGCTCGATACATACGAATGTTTTATGAAGATGGGATTTTAAATAATGGCTTCACCTGCATTTTACCACACGCTTAGGCTCCTCTGAGCGAACAAGATTAAGGATGATGCCAAAGCTTAAGATGGCTCCTAAGACGTTCCTGACACGCGAGGGCACCGCCGCTATCTCCACAGCAGCCTGCAACAGGAACCAGGACTGGAGGCCACTGGCCAGGTGCTGCCCCTCGTGCGTGTGTAAAACCTGCTCCACCCCCTCAGAATGGCACCCCTGGGAAACTGGAAATTCAGGGACTGAACAAAATCAAGACACTGCTCCTTCATCCCCTCAGGCATAAGATTAAGTCCTGGGGAAAGCAACCAAGTGCCACTCTGTCACCTGGCACGAGCTTCAGGTGACACTCGCCACACCGATACTGGGAACTGAGGATAACTGCAGGATCTTAGGATCAAATGCAGCACTTAAAATGCAGTCACAAGCCATGGCTGGCACGCCTGTGTCTGTGTTAAAGTGGGCGACCATCCCTCTCCCTCAATGCTGTTGTGCCTCCACTGTGCTACCAGCTGGCAGCAGCAGACCTGACCCTGTCAGGGAGGGAAGGAGCAGGGGCCCAGCTCTTCACAGGCGTCCCCTGGGTCACAGTCCACCCACCTGCACACACAGTGACCTATGTCTCGGGAATAACTTTTCAGACAGAAGATTCAGACAGGACTGCAAGATATGATTTCAGAAAGGCGTTTTTAAAAACATTAGGCTGGTAGTATCAGCCCTAGGAATCTCCACAGGTCCAGGAGACAAGGGCGGAGACGGCCCTTTGGGCTGCAAGGACTCCTGCCACTCCAGGTGCCTGTGCTCCAAGAGGCCACAGGAGAGGACCCTGAGGGTGGTGGGCCCTTCCTGGCTAACAGGTAATGCTGCTGAGAAGACACGTGGGCCACACAGGAAGATACTGCTTAGGAAGGAAACTGATGTGTGAGGGACATTACAGCAGAGCGTGCGGTGCTAGCCAGGGGGAGAAGCTGCCAGTGTTTCTCATACAAACGCAAAGGGTACCCTTGTTCCTACCAGAAAACGTTAATTCATGTGCTATTTGCCCAAAAGATATAGAAAAAGAATTTCATGGAAAATAAAAGAGAGAAAATAATGAAAGAAAATCCAGAATACTCATAAAGATTCCGATATTTATACCACATGTGAAGAAATCCAATGGCTCCACTTACTCTTCCCTGCAAAGAGAAGTCCACTGATAAGATCCCACATTTCAGTCAACTGATGTTCCCGCCCGTTATCCAGCTGTCCTGCTCTGAGCCCAGACAGTGATGACTGTTTCAGAGTCAGATTCACAAAAGTATTACTTGTGTGTCTCACGTTGTTTGCAACACATTTCTTCAAATGGATTTGCTAATGAGACACACAGGAAAAAGTCATGTAACTGCGGATCAGGCAGATTAAATTCTGGATTTCAATTATTTTTGTCTCTTCTAGCTTCCTAGACAACCTGTTTACATCATCTCTTTCCAGCATTAACATTTTCGAATGACATGAAATAGGATCACAAACAATGTCAACTTTGTAAAGAAATGGGTCAGACACAGGGTCGACTTTACAGGAGTTGTGAGGCCATGAGCCACGTGTCCACTGCCTCCAGCCAGAGCTGGGACGCCCCTAGTGGTGAGTCTTTTAAGTTCACCTGCGCACATCACTTAAGCACTGAGTCTCAATTTCATTACTTACAAAGCACAACAAATCTGCTTCTCTAGAGCTGTTCTGAGGATTTAAATATTGTATTTTGTAAATATCTTTTAACAGATGAACCCATAAAGGTAAAAGTCTTTCCATTATGTAGCATAATTTGAGGAACTAAGCCTGTAAGAACTGGTACAATTACTGTATATGCATGGCACAGGTCTTATTTCTACAGCTACACTTAAAGCATGTGAGAAGGATTTAGTGATACACAAATGTAAGCTGGAAAACGTATCACAGACAGGATGTACTGCTTGATTCCTGAAATGCACTAATGTGAAAAATGCCATTTATGGATCTGATGGCAAACTAGGCAGCTTGTAAATGAGGATTATTAACACGCCTAGAAATCATGCAATTCTAATAATCTGCCTAGTTTTCAATATACAGTTTTTCTAAAATGATTGAAAAATTTTTACTGCCTTTCAAAAAACAACAAAGGAATGTTCTCTGGCCAGGTTTATGTAAGTTGACTATTTCTTTAAAGAACAATGTTTTAGAAAGCAGATATAATAAGTTATCTCAGAAATTATTGAAGTGTTTTTAGCGGCATCGTAGCACATTTTTTCCCTGAGTTACCTAGGTTGGAAAAACAATTTAACAGCAGAATTATCAGATAATGTTCTCTCATTTTATTTAAAATCCGTAACAGAGGCTCAGACATAGATGAACACATTCATGATGGTTCTAGCACAGTCAAGATCTGTGTTTCCCAAACTTTTTTGTTTCTGGGAAATGAGAGGGGTTCCACAACACATCATTTCGGGAAACGTTGTGGGCTATACTTCTTGGAGATTCACAGTGCACCCTTAGCACAATACAGGCTTTGATGAAGTCTGCCATAAAAACACTCGCTTAACTTTAATTCAGCATTTCTGAAATGCATTTGAGTGAACTTTTTTTCTTTTAAACATCATTATTAACATCTTGTGGTTTTGTGGCTAACATTTTGAGAAGTGCTAGATCAGCTTATAATCTGTCTGTTTCTATAACCACATACACAGAACAGCTGGTTGGTTATTTCCATATGGAGGTAGGAATAAGACAAACATGAATATAATGAAATAATTTATACTTAACACCAATCCAGCACTTCTCAAACTCGAGGACCCAAGAATGTGCCTGTAGATGCTCGGTGTCTGCCCGCCCCGGGCTGAAAAATTCTGCAGCAACCATTCCACTCTTAGGGGCTGCTGTGCGCCACATGACTGGAGACCCCAGAAGGCACTGGGACCCCACAGCAACACTCACTAAGAGGTGTGATCCAGGGAAGCCTGGTCCACGTGTGTGTTAACATGAGCACAAAACTTAACATTTTAGGGATGTCTGAGAACACTGACCCTCCCCCACCCCAGTCACACATCTGCAGACAACTATGGAGCTTCGTTTAAGAAACACAGATCTAATCCAGTATTTCCATTTCATAGACGAGACGACTTGCCACAGCAGCAACACAGTGGTGATCAACCAACCCCTGGGGCCCCGAGTGCCGGCTCGCGACTGCCATGCTTGGCTGTTAGACACCATTCTGGGGGCTTATCTGACGACACACAACTAACTGCTTCAGGAGTAATGCAGCGCAACTGTCCAGTCCAGACACCGGCGTGGTGTGCATGCATGCGTGTGCAGGCCTGCCTGTATCAAACGCCTAGAAACAGGGTAAGTTCATCGGAAAAGAACATCTGTCTATCTGACCAGTGATCTAGGACATGGGCAGGATAATTCCTCTTCTTAAATTCATTACCTTTTCTAAAATCTGCATCTCTAATCAACTGAAAATCGAGTAACATCCACCGTGGAGCACACTACAACTACACTTAAAGAAAAACGACTTAGTAAGATCTCTCCAAAAGTCATCCAGGCCATTTTGTTATTTATGGCTCTCAGGGTCTAATTTCCTTTTCTCAGGAAAACTCCCATCTTGTGCTGACAGAGTGTTCTGCGCTTACTGTCTGCACCTCGTCCTAACACTATACCTGCCACCAGGTGCTTCGTTTCCTTTCCCTTTATTTTGCTTCATTACTCTCTTCTTAGCTGGACAAGCACTTTATAAAACAAAAATTTAAAACTGGCCTTAGTCTAAATAAAACAATTTTGAAGTTGTGCTTTTTCCCATTTATGCACACAAACAAAAAATAATGCTTCTTTCTGAAGACAAACCGGCCAGTGACTGAAAGCTTAAGAAACGGGAAAGAGATGAAATAAGACACGTACAAGGTGTGACTTTGTCTCGTCCAGAACACAGCTGACTTAAGAGAGTGCAAGCTTTTCTATCAGGGCAGACAGAAGGGTTCTATCTATCACCTGCCTGCCTTTGGAAGATGCTCCGTTCAGGTAGAAGAGCCAAATCATATTAAACTGCAAACTATGCTATTCCCCTCCCCCATGTAACAAATATTAAAAGCCACGGGCTAGCAAATGCAAAATTTATTTCAACTGTACATAACAGGTTTTTTTTTTTTTTATAAAACAAACACTTCATTGCCATATGCAACCACAAACAATAATATGCATACTGTACAATACAATGCAACATTCAGATATACATCCAATTTAGTTTTTCAAATGGTAGTCACCTACTAAAAATGGCTTTTCCCATTCACAGATAAAGAGCACAATTATAGAGATTATTTTCAAGATCTTATACCACTATATACACATTACTGTGTTTTGGCAATTTTATGCAAAACACAATTAATATAGATTATATACTTGTGGCAAGTGTTACTTCAAAGGGAACACCATTTAGGCCATTTGCAAAGGCCTGGTGATGGCTTAAACCTACCTTCTAGTTCAGACTCTTCATTCCTTCATTAGAATACTAACTGTACACATAAATATTACAGAATTGTATAAACAGAAGATACTATTATCAGCATGACTGAAGTCCCACAAAAGTAGAAACACTGGCCCTCTGGATGCCATATCACCACTGCCACATGAGAACTGTCTTTTCGGGCTTGTGGCACTAATACTTCTTAACCAGGTCACAAAAGCTAATGGTGTTAGACATTCAAAACAAATGCAAAGAAAAGGTCAGGTTATTCTTCTGCAGTGATCTTAGCATCAAGAAAAAGCATCATCAAAATGCCTTTAACTGGTACAAAATGGAATGATGGTAAATGTGAAAACTTTAGTGTAGAGAATATCAATAAAAATGTCCCAGTAAGATAACCAAATGATACTTGATATTAAAGGAAAATCCGAGTGCAGCAACTGTGTTTGAGTGTTGTGGTCTACAAAGCCTGTGACACAGGCAATCCATGCCTACGAGAAGGCAAAGGCAGCTAAGCCAATGCACTAATGAGTAGTCTTGAGGCAAACAAAAAGGTGCTCCCAGACTCAGAGGACTGCCATATGTAATACAAAACCAAAATCGCTCTAAATCCACTTACAGTAAGTATAGAAACTTTGTACTTATCTTATTTCTCCAAAAATTCCATTTACTATTTGGCTGAACATATATAAACCCTATCTCTGCCGGAGATTAACACTGGGCTTTGACTAATTTTAGAAGACTGCTCCTCAACATTCTTATGTTTACTAATTGGTATGAAAATACAAACTCTTCCGATGGCATGAGCACTTCAGTAGCTACTTGGGAACAGACAAATATTTGGAATTAACAGCTGCCCTGATGACTCCTGTGCCATTAGCTCGTTCCATGCTGAATGAAGCCACCCAACTTTCTAAACAGCGTGCTACTGCCAGGAGCTCCCTGGCAGCTCTGGGCTTGAGCAGCAGGACCCGGCTCCCAGGACAAGACTGATGCTGCCTCAGAGAGTTCACTCTGCACAAACAAGATCAGAACACTGAATACGTGGGTTTGGCGAAGGAGTGGGTGGAGGGGGAGGAAAGAAATCACGGCCACCTGGAATTACAGCCACCCTGAAGGAGGAAAAAATGTTATTCTCAATTTCTTATGGCATCTTGTTTTCTGAAGCTGGTTTCAATGAATACTTAAAACACAACCGTAAGGTTCCATTTTAACACCAAATAGAGCGTGCATGGGAGAGAACAGAGTTTGGCCCCTCAAGCAATGACTAGATGTGGATTTGATGCCACAACTGAATGCAACAGGTCACATTCAGTTCTTTTTGAAGCAGAAATTGGTCTGAGTGAGGCCAGTGAAAACTCCTTACAACAAATCCCAGGAAAATGGGGGAGATTTTTTTTTTTTTTAAATAAGTGAGCTACATGGCAACCTAGTAATTCTTCAGTGAACTTCGATATCCCATTACAATGAAGCATTGCAGTTTTACACTATGGGGTTGCTGTAAACGGAGTTTCACTGCAGCTGGTTGCTGAAAACAATGATGTGTCCATGGCTCTTCCAGACAACGTTAAATATGGATGTTGGGGTGGGGAGCCGGGGGAACTGAAGCCACAGCACTTGACTTTTTAAGTATTCCAAATGCCTCTCCAGATACAGTCTAGTAGTCTACACTTGCAGAGGCTGAATGCTTCAGATTTTGGGCTTTAAACTTTTAGTGTAGAGTTTTTACTATAGAGTGGTGTAGGCTTGCTAAGTGCCATATAACAGAAATCATTGCAATTCAGGGAAGTTTGGGGTGACGATGAGAGTGAACATCTGAGCCATGACAGTAAGCTCTGCCTTCGGAAAGGAGAGCTCCCACTTCATGGCCACAACGCAGCACACGGAAGAGCACAGAGCCGTGAGGTGGAGACAAGCTCTGAACACGTGACGCCCGCCCGTCTGTGCACCTGCCAAGGCCCAGAGCCCACATGCTGTTTGGCACAATTACCAGAACACAGCTGTTGGAACTGGGCTCACAGCACCTTTGCTGCATGTATTCTTCTCATCTCTCCACAACTACTTCATCAGTGTTCACAGTACTTAAAAAATTTAGGTCCTTACAGATAAGGCCAGAGTCTCCTCCATGGTTCTGGCACTTAGATCGCAAACCTGTGTGATTTCAGTATAAAATAGGAAAGTGTTCATACAGCTGTACCCAGAAATCAATCAAACAGTTGCTACACTGAGAATAAAAAAAACATTTGGAGCTATAAAACAACAACTACCCCTTACGAAGAGCACCCTCGGGTGTAGGCTCACGGGAACACACCACCTCCCTCCAATAGTCATTCGAATGTATACTCGCATCGGCAGTTAAGCCTCCACAAAGTACAATGGGAAATATCAGGAACACTCTCAAAAGTTGTTAAAATATCACATAAAAGAGACAAGGAACAGCAAGAAAACATCTAAGAAAAGCAGGCTGCGATACAACAAGCATTTGTTAAGAAAAGCTCAGAAGTGCATTAGTTCTGGTGAGAGATATATGAGCAACAGCTCTTACGAGATGTAGAACCCATTCTGTAACTATGGGCTGTCCATATACTGTCATAGTCAGAGTCTTCCGAGAGGTCTGAAGGCTCCAAACGAGAAAGGCTACTGCGACGACCCAAGGAGTCTAGGCTTGGTTGGTCATCATCAGCCAAGACGTGATTATGCATCAGGTCAGTGCCTTGCCATGCTAAGACGGGCGGGCGGAGGGACAGGCGCGACAGGCAGGGGGTGAGGAGGAGAACGACAGGAAGAGCCACAACCAAAACATGGAACAAAAGCAAAAGGTGATGGGAAGAGAAGGAAAAGAGAAAATATTGTTAAAAATTGGCAACAATGCATGTTTCTCCTTACATATGGCTGGGTTTCAATAACAAACTTAGCAAAATCCTTAGAATACAACTAGATCGATTATTATCTAATTAAGCCATTAATATACAATGTTTCCAAACCGCTCTTTTAAAAAAAGATATTGCTCTATAGCCCTCATTTAAGAAATCTTTTTACAAATTACACTCATGTCCAAAAGATGACTCTATAGACATGAGGCAATTAACCAATTCTATTCCACATTCAATTAACTAATAGTCTCATTTAGGACATCATTTGGGAAAGGTACCATTTATATGGCTAATTAAAAATTGTTTCCTATCAGTAAACAGGTGTATCAAATGCAAAATAATTTCAAAGGATTTCTGACGGGCTTCTTCAGTTGTCGCTTTGCCAAGACCATAAATCTGAGAGTGGGTCTGGACTTACCTGATCAATCAATAATCACTCTGAGAACTCAGAGGGCAGAAAAGGACTGGCCAGGGCCCACAGCCCCAGAACCCACCCCCTGGCTCCCAGGGCACGCCAGAGCTTAGCCCGCAGGCAGGGTGCAGTGGGAAGCTGGGTCGGCTGGCAATGCCGGCCACCCCGATGCAGACCCTCTGCTGTCAGGAAGAGAGACGTGAACTGGCAATACCCCAGTGTTAAAAGGAAAATGACAGAGGAAGTGGCAGAACATGGCAGGAGAGAAATAATCATGAGTGGCCAGCAACTATGAGCACTGCCCACGGCCAGGCACCTGGGCTGAGAGGCAGGCCGGGCTGCCGGGGTCTCCCTCCATGCAAAGGCGGGGGTGCCCCTTGCTGAGTGAAGGCAAACCACAGTAGCCCCGGCTCCTCCCTGCTCCTGCTTCTATCAAACTGACCTCTGTTCCCAGACTGCAAGAACTACGTCATAACCGGCTGTGAGGGCCATTACTTCCTGGAGTTAGAAATCAGTATCAAGGAAGTTTGGTTTACAAAATCTTCTTGGCATCCAGATGTGTGTATTGAACAGAGCTGCATTTTAGGTAAAATATATTATCCTTCTAAAACCTGTTTTACTAAGCATTTAATGTAAAAAGAGCTGCTTTCACTATGATCCCATTTCCAAGCATCTTAAGTATACCAACTTCCCAGCACAAATGAGCAATTTCTCCCATTACTCCCTAGTTTTGAGTGTTCGGTTTAAGGGTATATATGACTATCAGCTCCCTGAAGCCCAGAGTGGTTTGCCCATAATATGAATTAAAAACAAAAATCAATGTATCATTCAATGCTTTTCTTGCACAGGAGAAATGGAAATACAGAATACAAGCAATGTGACAAGAAAAGAAAAGGAATTGTGGGCCACTCCCCTTAGGCAGTCAGGGGCTGTGAAGCCACAGCATATCACAGGACCCTGGTCATGAAGAAATGAGGTGGGCACTATGTCAGCCCTCATCCACAGGGGATTGGTTCCAGGACTCCCCTCGGACACCAAAGTCCTCAGACCCTCCAGTCCCTGATATAAGATGGCATGGTGCTTCCATTTCACCTACACACAACCTCCCGTATACTTTGTTTGGGGAAGAGCTCTATACTTTGAGTCATTTCTAAATTATTTATAGTACCTAATACAATGTAAATAGCATATAAATAGCTGTTATAAGTATAATTATTTTTTTATTTGTATTTTTTTTTTACTGTTATATTGTTACTTTTTACTGTTTCTTTTTTCTGGGTACTTTTGATCTGCAGTCGGTTGGATTCACAAATGCAGAACTCAGACACAGGCGGGCGGCCAACTGAACCTGCTCTGCTCATCTGAGACTACTGGGCTAAAATTTTATTTCAAGTAACTGAAATTGAGATGACAACAAAAATCTCAAATTCAAAATCCAAAAATGTATGGCATTTTATAGCCTATTACTTAAAACATGATCAGTATCAAATTATAAAAATGTAATACCTTTCATCATAACAATTTGTACTCAGACATTATTGTGTCATCATACATGTATTTATTCCACCTTTTGACAGGTTACCCATGCCTTTCTGTTTCTCTATTTCTCTCCTATTCTGAGAAGCAGTCACTACGAATGAGTATTTTTCACTAAAGTATGGACAAAAAAAACCAACAGTGCTGACCCTTGGCAAAAAGTCTTAATGTCATAGACGGGACATGGTACCATAGCAGTAAAATACTGAAAATGGTTAAAAAAAGAAGCTTCTGGATAATCGAGATTCCACAAAGGGTTTACCCTGCTCATCCTATCTTCACAGCTGCAGCAGTCTTTGATAAAAGCTAAAGCAGCTGAGAAGTCCTCTTCCCTCTTTTTCCTTTTCTCAGCGTTAAACAATACATGACACTAACTGGAACCACCACGCTGCAGGCGACTAACAAAACAAACAAGTGAGAAAAGTGACAGTCAAGCTGGAAAGGGCAGCAAGTCCTAAAATGGAGGAGAAATCAGTTTCTGTGCTGAGAAAATACAGAATCATCCAGTTCTCGAAAAGGCCTGAGGCCTTGCACCATGTGCTCACGTCAGCTGTTCTGGGCACGCAGACGCCAGCAGGGTAAATGACAGGCACGCTGCCTCAGCCACCACCCTGCTGCGCTTCACTTGCAACACCACAGGAAAAATGTAAATTAAAAAAAGGCACCTTAGGGCCGAGCCATGTGTCTCACGCCTGTAATTCCAGCACTCTGGGAGGCCGAGGCGAGGTCAGGAGTTGGAGACTAGTACGGCCAAAATGATGAAACCCCATCTCTACTAAAAACACAAAAACATTAGCTGGGCGTGGTGGTGCGCACCTGTAATCCAGGAACTCGGGAGGCTGAGATAGGAGAACGGCTTGACCCTGGGAGGCGGAGGCTGCAGTGAGCTGAGAACGCACTACTGCACTCCAGCCTGGGTGACAGAGTGAGACTCTGTCTCCAAAAAGAAAAAAAAAGCCACCTTAATACAAAAAAAGTTTTTCATTTAAGACACCATACATCAGACACAGGTAAATCCTGTGGTTCGTGAAATCTACTGAATAATTAGCTGTAAATTTCCAAAAAAAATTTTAAAGCAATTATTTTTTAGAAAGGCTAAAAGAAACCTTGCTCAAAGTTTATATTTTGGATATTTCTAAGAAACTAAAAAATAATAAAATAAAAATGAAAAATTCCAGTACCACACCAATAGCTTAAATAGCTGAAATAACTGAACTAATCTTCCACTGTCTTTTAAACACATCTTCTCTTAGCAAAAGCATTATGAATTCTGGCAATAGCTTATATTTAAATATTTCCTAGTACAATTTTATCTAGAAAATCACACAGCAATTGTGCCCACAGCTCAGACCCAACTCCATGAATTTAGGGACCTGAAGCTCAGCTGCTGTCCTGCCTGCCACCCCTGACTGAAACACCGCCCCTGGGAGGTCAGGCGGATGGGCTGTGCAAGGGGCCACAACAGGTTCCTTCAGACTGTAATTTGAAACTAAACAGAATAAACCATCACAATTTCCAGGCCATTATTGTTAAACTTACTTGAATTGAGTGTTTGCCTTGTTTTGGCGCTGGTGCAGTAAGCTTCGATGACTTTCAGAATCTGAGCATCTTCTTCCAAAGCAGCTGTGCCTGTCAAGAGACGCACAACAGTTCACAATCGAACTGAAAGGCCTCTAGTGCAACTGGCAAGATGAATGCAGGCATCAACTCGACCAAAATGACAAGTAAGATAATCTGCCATTTTCTTGTCAGATGACTGTTTTCCACAAAATTTACGAAAGTTATACTCAAAAAGGTTTTCAGTTTTTTAAAAATATTTGCAACACATTTGGAAATGATTATCCTACCAACCCGTAAGAAAATTAGTATCCCCACTCTCAAATTGGAAAAAGGGCAGGAGATAGGAATATGCAAGTCACAAAACAAAAAGAGTTCTAAGAAAAAATGTCTAATCTCACTGAAACAAGAAATGAAAATTAAAACATTTTCGTGTTTCCACATGCCAGCCAGACAAAAACAGAAGGCCGACAACCCTCAGTGTCGATGTGGGCATTGTGCCTGTCTGTTCCCCACATGGCAGCCCGTGGTCCTGTGAAAGCCCAGGCCTCATCATCTTCTCTACGGAACCGGACTCTGCCTGCCTGCTGCTCAGGGCACTGTGTTACCTACCGCTCTGCAGGGGAGCTCTGGCCCACAAAGCACACTGTCCCTTGTGCACAGCCTGGGGTTCCGGCCCAGGGACTCTGCGACCAGGCCTGGAGAGCTCCTCCCCAGACACCTGCATGGCCTGCTTCCTCGGCCCCAGGAGGCTGCTCAAACGGCGCCCTGGCACCGAATCTCCCACCTTTCCTCCCTACTGGGTCTCTGCGGCACTCCACGGCCCATAAATTGTTCACTTGTTTTGTCTGTCTGTATCCTTCTACTAAAACAGGCTCTATGAGAACAGGGATCTCTTTCGGTCACACTGCATCCTTCACGCCCAGCCCATGAAGGTGCTGATAAAGCACGTGCCCAAGAATGATGATCTCAGCTGCAGCCGGCCCCACGCCCAGCTCAGTGCTGCCCCTGGATCTGCTGAAGGAAGGGGCCCACAGAACAGTTCGCTCACAGAGAAGCCCCAGCACAGCCAGTAAGCAACAGAGCAGGCGTCCAGCACCAGCTCCGCTTCAATAGCTAGACCCCAGGACCTCACCATCTCATCAGGGGCCCTGGTGGTCAGGGGCCTGGACCACCTGGGGAAGAAGACAGTCAGGATGGTGACTTATATTGCCATGGACATCAGGTGACAAGGACAAGAATATAATGAACACTCCAGCACGGTGACCTCACAGGGCTGACTGATAAGGTGGGGGTGAGGGGAGGCCAGCGGTGGTGCGGCACAGTGAGTGTGTAGGACGGCTGCTGGGCCTCCTCCTGAGGCTGGAGGAAGTGAGCAGTGAAGGCACAGGACCAACATAGGCTGAGCTCAGACATCGGGTGGGGCAGGGCAGAGCCCCGCAGGACAGATCCTGCAACTTCCCCAGAGCTGGCTCACTCTCCCTGGGTTGCACCCATCAGTCCACAGCAATCTGTTCACAGGTACCCCTTCCCAGCAGTCACCCCCAGGAAAATCACTTACTTCTGTCAAGAGCTCCACTTATTCAAAAGCTATCTACCGAGCACCTAACAGGTGCCAGGTACTTGCTGAGAGGCCACGTAGGAACCCAGAACTGAGTCGGACCCCTAGGCCTGAGGAGCAGATAGGACGGGTCCAAAGCGGAGAGAACAGCACGAGAACAGCACGGGCAGGTGCAACCCACATGAGAACACAGCAGGTCATGCTTCTAACAGATGGAGAGAGCACTTTGGGAGATGATGGCACTTCAGGAAGTGTGGGTGGAATATCTTTGGGTGGAATATCTTACAGGCAATGAGGGAGAACCAGAAAAGCAGGAAAGCCCTCCAGGTCTGGCCCCAGCTCCTGGATGAGGAAGGGCTAGGAGGCAGTGGTGCTGGAATTGGCACGGAGACTTCATCACTGACACAAGGGCACTTCTCCTGCTTGCTTGGGTAAACGTTATGTTTACTACCACTTATTCCTACCACTGCCTCAAGGGGCAAACCCTACTTTTGTTTGGAGTCTTCAGAAAGCCACCAAGCCTCCCTCCATCCCATGAATGCCATGGCCTGCGTGACCAGGAGGCCACATCCTCCTCCACATGGACCGCAGCTACTCACTTTTCCGGGACGCGAACTCCTCATCGGAAGGCTTCCGTTCAGGTTTGCGCTTGGGCAGCAGCTTTTTCATGGTCTTGGGACTCTTACTAAGATCCTAGGGAAAGAGAAAAGAAAATGTTAACATACTCTAAAGCCAATCATTTTCACTGGCGTATCAGAAAGGCTGCTGTAAAGGTATAAAACCCCAAATTATTATAGCCACTGATAAGAGCTGCTCGCTTTTTCCTATTTTGATTTTTCTTTACCAGCTTCTGAACGTTAATTTTAAAATCAATAGGGCATTCTCAGTATTAGTCATTGGCTAATATTTTTTCTTCACTCTGATAAAACCCCTCATGCCATTTGGGTCCTGTTAGTTCGGTGATGAGAGGTGTCCCCAGGAGGCAGGCTGGCGCTGGTGTGCACAGACATCCTGCACACTCCTGAGGGAGGAGGGGAGGAGGCAGCAGTGGCTCCCGGGGGCAGACCCACCCCCCGGTACAGCTAACTGGAAAGACGAGAGGAAACTAAGGTCATCATTAAATGACAGATAAGTAAAAAATAATCGCTTTAAGAAACTATTTAAAGTCTCAGGGAGAAGAAAAGGGAGCGAGTGCTCAGCTACCCGACTCTGAGTGCCAGGAGCACAGCCAAGCTCAGCCGGGGCTGTTCTGCAGGGGCCACACGCACACTAGCTCAGAGGCGAGTTCACAACGGAACTGCCCACCCCTTACCTCTTTAAACAGCTTCTCAAACAAGCACAGAAGACGACAGCAAAATACAAAGTGAGCAAAGCAAGTCCAACAGAGCAGGTAAGGTGTCAACTATCAAGCACGTGTTAAATACCGATATCAAAAAAAAGGCTGGTTTCTGCACCACGCCAGTGACATAAACCATCGCGAACGTTAACAGGCGAAGCCAAGACTCAGAAGATGAGATGCGCTACGGAATGAACCGGGCTGGAAACAGAGGAAACGAAGCCTGGTTTTTAAAGTTATCTTTAAAAGTCTTTTCTTGGGAGCTAAACCATGGGTACACATGGACATGACCATGGAAATGGCAGACCCTGGGGACTCCAAAAGGGGGAGGGTGATGGGTGCAAGTTTTGAAAAACTACCCATTGGGTACAGTGTTTCCTATTTGGGTAATAGGTACCCTAGAAGCCCAAACCCCAGCATCACCCAATACAGTCATGTAACAAACTTTCAATCTAAAGTAACATTTAAAAAGTTAAATAAAAATCTTTCTATAAAAATTGTAAAGCTCTTAGAAATGCAGTAGCAATCTGTTCCAGAAGACACATTTATACACATGTGCTCCCTGGCTTCCCTAATTCAAAGCAAATTGAGATGGAGAGCCTTGAAGAGCCAATGCCCACCCACCATGTGCTCCGAGGGCACCTGCGGGCACAGAGGGTCATGAGGCACACAGCACACCCGACGACCAGAGCCAGGCAGAGCAGGCTGCAGAGCGGCCTCCATGAGCCGCCACGCCCTCTTCTCGTACTCTGCAGGACCACTCTCCACGCTAATGCTGTGTGGCACTCAGCAACACTGGACAGCAGCTGCTCGGCGTGAGCCCTTCTCTCCCAGTGTGGAGTGGGCAAAGCAACTGCAGCCAGATTATCAAAATCAAATTGTTTATCTTCATTTCAATGCCTCTTCCCTTGCCCTTTCTACTTCTTTTCCCAACAGTTTTATCCCCGTTTTCTTCCCTAGTAATTCAGTCTCCACCAGTTCTTGCAGTAGCTCACTTTTTCTTTAGACTGTGCACACTAAAGTATACAATAAGGAACACCAACATTCTTCAAGTAACTTCCCATGACAGAAAATGAGAATTCTGACTTGCACACATGATTACCTGAAAGATATCATAAAAACAAAGACTCAGTAAGACCAAAAAATGAAAAGCATAGATCCTAATTTCTTACACAGTACTTTCCTATGGGCCTTAAAACCCTCAGGGCTGCTGGCAAGAGCATAGAAAAAGTCTGCTCCAGTTCCCTTGGCAAATGTGGCCTTGAACAGACACAGAGGCGCGACGCCAGGCAAGAGTGCATCACCGTCCTCACGCTCACTCACACCCCACCAGCGGGCACTGCTCCTCGTATCTGCACGCAGCCACCCATACTCGCACCGCCACTCCTCGTACCTCACCACCATGCACGCTCAACTGCTTATGAAAACAACGCTCATCTCAATTATCGGCTTCCTCAGGTGAAAATATTTCTCAGAACACATTTCTCAAGACGCTTCCTTTCCTCATCCAAGCTGGCTTAGGGGAAAGTATAAGAAAGTGTTAATACTTATATTTATTCATTAGAATCGTACTTTATTTGCACCTAGCAAATACAAAAATGCTGGATCAAAACACAGACAAGCAAAGACTGTATCATGATTTCTTATGCATCAAAGGGGGAAACTGCCTAAGTGTTTTTTCATTTGTATTGGTAAACGTTCTCTTCCTTTCAAATGGCTTCTGGATGACAAAACGCAGGGCTCCTGGATAGGATCCCCGACCTAGAGGAGGGGTTGTTAGACGCAGCAGACAGCATGCAGACGCCGAGCGACGGCCTCACACACGGGGAGGGAAAGTCACCTGGGCTCGGCGCCTTTCCAGCTCCTGGCCCCCGGCGGCACATTCCTCCGGCAAGCACAGTAAAGGCCCCCTCTGCATGGCACAGACAGGAGGGGCCCTGCACATCTGCACATCCCCTTCCCACACAGGGTTACCACAGGCCTCTCAGCAGCAGCGGAGATAACCAAAGAACCAAGGCAGACCCCTTCTCAGTTCTCTAGCAGTTAGGGTGCATTTTGCTGCGTACAGAGGGACCAGCCCGGCACACTCGGGGCCCAAGGCATGCTCACTGGCGTCTGGCTGTTTGAGTGGTCAAGGGACCTCACCTCCTTGTAGCAGAGGGCAGCGGAGGGCCGGAGGGGAGGCGCGGGCCGCAGGCAGCTCAGGCTCCAGGGCTTGGGTGTTTTCGGAGGCTCCAGGGGTCCCCAGTTGATGGTGGTGTGCGGGGTGCCGTGGTGGGAGGGGTGGGGGAGCGTGTGGTAGGCGGGCGTCAGCGGCGCGGGCTTGCTGTCTGCGTGCTTGCTGGACGGAGTGACCGGGTGGGAGGGCAGCTGCCGAGGGCACAGAGCGGGAAGGGCAGAGAACGTGAGACTTGCATGCTCACCGTGAAAGGGCACTATCACGCACTTCCTTCCGCTCTTTAAACACTCCATGTGAAATAAACCCCAGGATTTATCATTTATCATTTCGTTCGAATCTCTGGCTCTCAGTAGTTTTTGGGGCCAAGCACCAGCTCGCGCCACCTGGGCTGAGCATGGGACCCCCCCACGGTGTCTGCCCCAGACGGGAGGGGCAGCTCTAGCTGGCGCCCCAGCACTCGGACATCCACTAGCCACATTTATTAGCTACGGAGTAACATTAACAGAAAAAAAGGTACTTTATCTAGTAAAAAGATGAGAATTTCACAAAAGCACACAGGGCATGTGGCTGTAAGAAGGAAGGTGATTCCCCCCGGTCACGTATTATTCTTCACCTGGTGATGAAGTACTGGGTGAAACTAAGGCCCAATCGCCTAGTTTTGTTTTTTAAAAAAGTTTTCCTGGCACACAAGCAGGCCCGTGCCTGTCTAAAGCTGCTGCTGTGTTACAAGGGCAGAGTACAGCTGCAAGAGGCCTGAGCCTGTAAAGCAGAGAATGTTTACCATCTGGCTCTTTCTAGAACACTGCCAAACCCTGGTATAAAATCAGTTATTTTCTTAGAAAACTCAACTTTAATCAAAACAAAGTTAATTGAAAATTAACTTCTTAGAGGAGGTATGTCATTAATGAATTTTATATTCCTGGGAAACCCGAAATATCCCATCACAATGACAGTTAAATGAGAAAAGTTAAGTAAGTCTCAAAATCAGCCAACAATGACTTCAAATTAGCCAACAATAGTAAGGCGCGTTTAATGGGAGAACAAGCTGTGTGGCGCTGTGAACTGGAAACCTGAGTGGGGTCGGCATTCTGAAGTACACGACCTTCAAAACAGGCTGAGAGGGAAGGCCCCACAGCAGCTAATGCCACAATTTCAAGAACAGACGCCATCAACTTTCTGCAATGATCACATTCTAGTCCCTGCATGGGGGAGGGAATCGTGTGAGATACAGGTCATGCTATGAAGCCACCGTAACGTCATCTTTTCATAGGAAATAATGTATAGATGGAGAAAATTATGTAAGACATCCCTCCTAGCAACAACGTCAGAGTTAAGTAGTGTCTGGTTTTGTTTCTCCTTTCTTGAGAAAGTCAAAGGAAGTATGCTTTATGCTAAAATTAGAATATGACTTCAGTTGGACAGAGTTAGATCACAGGAGAATACATCATCCCACAAAAGAAACTCTGTAGGAGAACGCAGAACATTTTAAACATGAGGCACAGTGCCTTCCCCGCCACCAGTGAAAGAAACACTAAGACGGAGGGTCTGGCCGCAGAGAAAAGCTGACTTGATGTAAAATTGTATGAAGTAGAGTTTCAGGCTGCTGTTGAAAATCTGAGTGAAGCAGCTCATCCACTGTTCTTTATAAACACACGTGTACACATGTCGCTGGGATAAACTGATCTCCACGAAAGAATGGAGAATTTTAAAACGGCAGAGCCATTAAAGATGAAATGCTAGCTAAAAGCCAATGAGTAGTTATCTGCACACTGCTGAGAGAAATCAGATGGACTCTGAAACTGATGAGAATATCAGAATACAGCAATCCTTCTTGATCTACAACCTTCCCATGAAGAAGAAAACATGAAAACTGAGCACACGACAGAACTGATCCTAATAACCTAGTAAGGATGTGAGGGAATCTGCAAGCTGAAAATGCCGTGTCATCGCCACTCATTCTTTAAAAGCTCTGCCCAGTTTTTCGGTATTACTTGATAAAGGTGACGACTGTTAAAACAACCCGATACCAACTTCTTGAGCAAAAAACACCAGGAGAGGTTTAAACACTGCAACCGAATTCAGTGTTCATCTATTTTGAAAAGTTGTAATTCTCTAAAAATTCAAAGAGTTGCTGAGCTTTTCTAAGTAAAAGACACCTCAATTTCTTAAAATCAACAGTGTGTCATAAACTCTATTTTAATGCCTTCAACATGAATCTGGCCCTTTTCATCATCATAATCATTTATTTTCGTTTTCTTAAATGAAGCATAATAAACAGTTAAAATTCTCAGAAAAATCATCTATAGTTTAGTGTAAAACTCCCCTAAATTAGTCTTCTAAGGCCACGCTGAGCAAAAGCAGCTTCCCACCCAAGCACCTCTGAATTGTGCGTGAGGAGGCACAATTCAGGGTTGTTTCTCGAGAACACTCATTGGAAAACAATTCACTACTGCACAAAGAGGGCCAAATATTTTCAGAGAAATATCAAGCAAGCGTTTGCATTTTTATCCCAATATTGATCAGGTTTTAAAGCACGTGATCACTTGCTGACAGCTCAGCCACGGGATGCCACGCCTGGAGTCTGGAAGGAGAAGAAGCGCCAGGTCCTTACGGTATGAGACGGCACCGAATGAGGCTTTATGGTGGGGTTTCCCACAGATGTGACCTTCGTTTGCTTCTGTAGGTGGTCCACCCATTCCTGCAGATCCTGCTGGTTGTTGCATGACACTAATATCCGCTCGATCATGCTCCCTAGAGGAGAGAAGGAAAAAATAGGCCGAGTGGAAACACAGGTAAAAAGCGCGTGCATGCACACACAGCCCCCAGAATTCCACTCAACGCTTAAACACCACCTTCTGAAATATGCAAGCAAGAATCTGCACGCGGGGACAAGCTGCCTCTCCTCCCCGAGACACGGCACTCACACAGCTTGTGCCTATCACCTGATATTTCAAATGCATTTCTATGGTTTTCACTGTCCTCAAGCTTTGTGATTGTCATTCCTGTCGTTGGAAGCTTTCCCTAAAAAAGACCCCCCCACAAAAAAAAAACAATTAGTGCTTTTCTAGAAAAAGGTACCATTATTAAAGTAATATTAAATGATTTTAGAATTGGTGGAGGAACTGTGTTTGTGAACCAAAAAGAGTTCGTTTGTAGCAGATGCATGTATAATACAAAAATCTTTATCTCAAATAATAAATCATATTAATACTATACTGTAAGCAAGAAACTCAACTGGCGACAAGGGACAGACTGACAAGCCCAAACACACACTGCATCTGATGAGCTGCTACTAAACAGACACCAGGACAAAAAATCTCACATTATGATTTTTTAAAAACTACCACGTGTAACAGTTGTTTTAAACGATGTTTTTGCAGAAAAGCAGCATGTATTTGCCTCATAAAGAAATACAGAGGAAGCTCCAAGTTTAAAGTCAAAATAAGGGTGGGAAATTGAGGCAAGAACAAGAATTGCCTAACATTCTACTTTATAATCCACCAAACAGAAAATAAGTAGTTGTGCTAAATGCTGCACACAATGCAGAAAATGGTTGGCAAACCAATGCTCCCTGAAAATGGAAGAAATCAGTAACTGCAACAGGAAATGTCAATGGAAAAGATACCAGAAACGGGGTACAAAGTGATCATTACAAACAAATCAGAAGTGAACACAAAACAGTCTGGCGCAGCTGACAGAAACTACAGTACACGGTGGCCCACCAAGTCCTCAGGAAGAGGCAGTGGCATCTGGGTCGTGCTGCCTTGGGAGCACTCCATCAGCTGCGGAGCGAGATTCTGCATGAGCACCTCCAGTGGGAGTGCTGCTCAACGGGTGTGGGGAACGTGCCCCCACAGAGAATGGGTGGCAGTGCCACAACCTGGCAGGGGCTCAGACATCCAGCAAGTAAGGGCCAGAGAGGCTGCCTATACCCCACAGTACCCAGGACAGTCTCACTGAGCCCTCAGCCCCGGGCCATGAATGATCCAGTCCAAAACGTCAGCAGTGCCCAGGTGGAGAAATCTCATCCTAAAGCACGGCAGGTGGAAGAGGAGACTGCTGGACACTTCTGTGGCCAAGCGTATTTTAAAAATGCTACACACTGTGAACTCCTTTCCAAGATTCACAATGCATGTAAGTACTTTAACAGCTGTGAGCGCTACAGAAAATGAAACTGCACAACTGTGTTTAACCTAGCCCACCGGAACATCGGTGTACAGAGCACTGTGGCTGTGGCTGGATCGAACACTTTTTAGCATCCCCCAAAGCCAGTGTTCCAATGGTAGAAATGAAGACTGACGATACAGAGACCATGGCTCACCACTGTACTAAGAACTGAAAAATAGAATCCTGTCGTTGAGATGAGCCCCAGCAGTCTGTCAGCACGTCAAGGGTAAAGCCAGTGTGAGCCCCAGTCCCACAGGCAGAGACTCAAGCCTGCCACGAGTGGCAACCTCTTCTCCCTTAGGCTAGAGAAGGCTCCTGTCTCCAGCCACTGGAATGAGACTCTGGGGATATAAAATAGGAAGCCAGATAGTGCTGACCAGAAAGGACAGAGATTTAGGTTTATCAAGGTCATTTAACAAAGAAGTAGCTGCTAGTTTATTGGAAAACTCTAGTGGGCACCACCTTAGCCACAGATCACCTCTCTTCAGCAGTGGCCTTACAAACTACAGCCTTATTTTCCTGAGTCTTTTCCTATATATGTGATTCATCAATTCTAAAGCACCCGTTTTAGAGTAAGCGTATGACGACAAGTCCTCTCTGGGTGGTCGACAAAGCCTCTGTGAAGGCACAGTGTCTGCTTAGGGTTCTCTAACGCCCTTGCTGGGACGACACAAAACAACACATGCTACAATGAAACGCAACCCAGGGAACACGAAGTGGTGGCTTCTGCTGCAGTGGTTATGTGGTGACTGGCCAGTCCTCAGAAAGTTGATGGGAAGGATATGAGCCTCTATTACTTCACAGAAAAAAAAGAATGAAACCTGCCAAGTGCATCTACTAGACAGCAAAAATACCAGCTCCTTCACATACCACCACTATAAACCACTGTCATAACAGAGAAGGCCCTGCTCACCCTTGCACCTCCTTCTCAAATCCGCTGTCACATTTTCTCCAAGAAAAGCAGGGAAACAAAAATTAAAAAGGTTCAACGATCACACACTGCTACTTACATACGTACATCACTTTCTATTTGCTGATGCATTTGGGCAGTGCTGTGCCACTGACACAAGACCTTAGTCTACACTACCCCACTAACCCACAAGCCCTAGCTGAACCCATTTCACAGAACAAAACTATAGCAAGGAGCAGCAAGGTATTTTGCATGAAATGACAGAAGGCAATGACAGAGGCTGACTTGTGCCACAGTCATCTGTGTCCTTATGAAGTTGCTCTACATTTACACTTCTTTCCTTTTTTAAAATGAACATAGGATATGCTTGCATAGTCACAGTGAAACATAAACAGGAGCCGTACATCCATATCTGAACATACGGCATTACACACACAGCACATACACAGATACATGTAATATTTAACACAAAATTCAAAGTCAGCTTGAAATTATCCTCAGATCCACAATAAAATATAAATTTAGATGGTGTTTTACCTGATAGATAAAGCCACTCATCCTAGGACTGGCAGACAACATCAGCAAAACATTTGGGAAGAGTAGAAGATATCTTTCATTCTTTTCCTAATACAAAAAAAGAAACCCAAAACATTTCTTAAACAACATCTACTTACAAATGTGAGCACAAATACTTATATATACTAGACCCTATGAAACATCACATGGTATTTCTCATTTAGGTATTTCTGTCAAGTTTTATCAGGTAAATTAAATGGAAACAATTATGATAAATTCTGTATTAAGTCTTAATATATGATTAAGAGAGAGCTTTGACATATAGGTAAAGAGAAGGATTTCTAAATTCTTCAAAAAACAAAAGGTAAGAAACTAAACTGAATGATTAAAAGATCCTGCAGTCACAATTAGCCTGTGTAACATCTTGAAAATATATCTGGTTAAGGAGTTCAGCTCTGTGATTATTTTCAGGTAAGCTAAAATTTTCTTTTTCTGGTTCAGAGAAAAAGGAGAGAACCTATACATTTTAGTGGGGTGAACAGGTGAAGTCTTTAAGCTAAAGGAAGGATAGGATAAAATGTTAAAATCAATTTCAGTCTACTACTAATTCCTGGCACTTCCCAAACCTCCCAAATGTCAAATCAGTGTTGTTCTCATCCACCCCATAAACATCACCTGGTTTACATCAGACTTAAAAGTATTACTTATGTATTAAAAATCACTTGCTTCGGTAAGATAAAAGCCAAAGAGACAATAAGTGAAAGAAAAAAGTTCCTAAGAATCCAAAAAGTGACAAAAAAATGCCAGACAGTCCTTTTCACATGTTGACACTTAAACTACGGCCCCCAAAAGTGTAATCGGTCCTAGGAATTAGTTTCCCCACGTATATTCCTCAGAACATTAGGCTTACGCAAAGCACCTTGAAAAGAGTCTTCCATACTTTAAAGAAGCCACTGAGAACGACTTGCTACAGCCCCCTCTTGAAGACTCACAACATACTTTGGGAACATTGAGAGCCAAGTCTCTGAGGAGCTCTGTCATAAAGAATCTTTTCCACTAATCATGTTCAGTCGTGATCAGAACCACTCTGAAGCATTCTGAAGTAACACCCACCAGCATTGTGTAGATCTAATATTATAAAGAACACACTTTGGGAAATGTTTACACATTTAATTTTAATTTTAAAAATTAAAGTTTAAAAGAGCATGATTCAAAAAGAAACTGCTTCTGAAAAGATGTGAGGTTTTTACAATCACGGTTTCTTACGGTACCCAAACTACAGGACTATGTAGAAGGGGTGATATTTTATAGGTGGAAAGGAAAACACACTGTGAAAGTTTCAAGTTTTAGTTTTCTTTTTCTCCTTAGAGTCTCATGTTCAAAAATGAGTCATTTAGCATGTTTTGATCATGTTATTTTTGCAGAGGTAGAATAAAATTCAAAAAGAGGTGCCTGTTTAGTGACCCACTGAATGTATGTCAATGTGAATCATGAAACAAACTGCTCGATTTTCACTGTGTGGGTGGGTATGTCCCAAAAATCTGAGTTGATCTCTCACTTAAACCAAACCCGTAAGAAAACTGTGACTCCTGTAAGCATATGTCAGCTAGCATACTTTCACAGGAAAGTATAATGACCTGAAAGCACTGAGAGCGGCAGGTCCCTGTGACAGCAAGCCTTGGTACAAAGTTGCTGGCCAGATAAGCGCATACAGCTCCGTGCAGATGGGTGCATGGGACTCCTGGCAAGTCTTTCCGCATGCTATCCTTCAGTTCACGTGGGTTTCAGGCCAGACTGACTTCAGCTGGAACAAACTGGTCAACAAGTCCACACTCAGCTCTAAGCCTCTCTAACAGACCATAAGCCTCTCTCCTGTGTCAAGAATAAAAAGTAGCTCACAAATTATAAGATAGAGCTTCTATTAGACGTTTTTCATTGCCTGAGATGCCTTTAACATCTTCTGTTACGAGCTCCTAAGAGTGGGACAGAAACCCTGATGCATACATGTGGGCAGCAGTACCTCGCTTCCAGCACACTGGATCAGGACCTGGGACATGTAAGTGACGTTGCCCAGAGTTTTAATGTCATCGCCCTCCCAGTTCCGGATGGATTCCGTCAGGATCTGCAGCTCAAGTTCTTTTCTTTTCCGGACTTCCTGACATTGGGCCTGAGAGACACAGAACAACACTGTTAACAGACAGAAACTTCCAAAATCTTAAGTTCTGGCCACACTGCTTTGCATCGTCCTTAAGACAATTATTGCTTTATATCTTACTTCTTCAGACAGATAATCTGTTGAATGATTTACTTAATTATACGGAATTGAAAGTATTTGCTTGAAAGTATGAAATCAAGTCAAAAGAAGCAACGCACACAACTGCTCTGGAATACTAAGTATTATCTTAGAAAAATATAGCAGATTTTGCCACTTGTACAAAAAAGAAAGGTGGACAGAACAAAACTGTATTTTCATTCTGGTTTTGTTAGTGTTTGCCAATATAGAAGACTGAAGAGAAGAAACAAAGCATAACTTGTGCTATAAAATAAGGCATATATTTCGAAAATGCAGTTGGTAAGACAACACAACAGCAGAGAAAATGGAACCACCATTGTTCTGTTTTGCAATAAATCATTAAAGACAACACGAATGAAGGGTAAAAAAATGTTTGAAATAATTTTAAAGTAGATCTAACATCAATTACACTGCGATTTTAAAAATTTTAAGTAATTATTCTATCAGAGTCCGCTAAAAGGAGTTTACCAGCCATAGAATGCCGACTCTGTTTTTCTTTCATGTCAGCACAAGTCATTTTTTAATCATTTGACTTTTTCAGTTGATAATTCTTTTACATTCATTTGTCACAATGATGCCTGGGGGGAAAAAACAATATGCTTAATCACTTACTGAAAGGTTTTTGAAGGCAGCCATAGATTTTTGAATATCTTGTCTATCTGTATGATAATCCTTTGAGTAAAAGAAACATACAATTAGCTTTCGTAAGGAAAAGCTTTTCTTAAAAAGGTACTTTCTACAGACCAGCTTGAAACTTTTCTAATACTTTTCAACCCTTAATATTCCCTTTTTCCCTCAGCATTAAAGTGTCAGTCTTTCAGAAAATCATGAAGCCATCAGACTTGGGGGAAACATACGTTGAAAGAGAACAGTCACGAGCAGCAGGGGTGGGGAAGCCAACACTTGCTTCATCAATAAAGTCTTATTGGAACACTGCCGCGGCTCACATGCAGTATCTAGAACGGCAGAGCCGTGGAGCTGTGAAGAAGACCCTACAGTCTGCCCCCTTACAGAAAAGGTTTGCCAACTCAAGCCAAGAGAGTAACTTTAACCCAAATTTCTGCTAGGATGCAACCTGTTATTCAAAATTAAAAGAGCATAATCATTCATTAAATGATTAGTACAGTATTACCCTATAACTTATGCACACATTGTTTGTAGCTGATGATCCAGATAAGACATCTCAACATTATCTGAAAATCAGTTCTCATGTTTCAGCTTTTGGAAACTTTTCAACCAGCAGCAGTGGGTAAAAGAGAGATAAGTGGTAAATGTTTTTTAATAGAGCTGGAGTAAGGAGAAAAACATAATATTTAACAAAATCATTTTGACAATCCACTAAGTAAAAACTCTTTGTAAACTCTGTTGGTTCTGGCTTCTAAAATAAATCATGAATAATACTTTCTTTCACAGTTAAAGTCTGACCATGCCACTAACCCTTGGTAAGGACTCCGAGTAAGAGAGTGAAAGTGCGGTACCTCCATGTGTCTCTCGAGCTCTTTGAGCAGCGTAGGGTATTTATCCAGGCGCATGAAGGGTTTGCTCAGGCCCGTGGTCAGCACGAGAATTCCAGGGCTGCTGGCACCTTTGGTCTCCATGAACTCCCCCAACTCCTCACTGGGCAGCAAGTGGCAAGGGAGACACTTGTGGTTAGCAATGAGAGGCAATGGTGGCTCTCTGATCTCCACGAGCAACAGCCAGAATTTATGAAACATGAGTGTTGCTTTTAACATCTGGAAGGCTCCAGCTTTGATCCCAAATCTGCGCTGCTTATCTGGAAATGCCAAAGGGGATTCCCACCCCTGAGGGGTCCCATTCCTGCTCTCATATGAGCAAGAGTAACTACACACAGCACAGGATGTGTGGGTCTCCATGAGATCCTACTGACGCCGAGGCCCTCTGGCACATCAGTGCCATGCAGACATGTCCAATGGAAACGTGCACGCTCAGAGCCAGAATGGAGTCCAGTAATCTCAGTCTCAAGGTGGTAAGAACAAGGACTCAGCTGCTCCGGTAAAGAGCTAGAGCACGCCAATGGCCGTCATTCCCAGAGGTGAGTTCGTCCAGCAAGCAGGCCCCACCTAGGTGCTGCCAGCACTCAGCCTGGGAGTAAACAATGGCTCTCGGGGTGAGGAGTGGGAGAAGCAGCAAGAGAAGAGAGCAAACGTTGATTTACGCTTCAGAACTTCAAAAGCTTTGTTACGTTTAATCCTCACAACACATGAGGAAGGAAGGGGTCCCTGCGTGCAGACAGCGAATGCTGATTTATGCTTTAGAACTTCAAAAGCTTTGTTACATTCAATCCTCACAACACGTAAGGACGGAAGGGGTCCCTGCGTGCGGACAGCGAACGCTGATTTATGCTTCAGAACTTCAAAAGCTTTGTTACACTCAATCCTCACAACACGTAAGGACGGAAGGGTCCCTGCGTGTGGACAAAGAAACTGAGTGCATATCCCAAAATTAAGGAGTTAGAAAATTTTAGATCTTCCTGTGTTCCTCTTTCACCATTCCCTTCACGGTGCCTCGCCTGGCTTTCCCTACAGTGGGTCCTCACGTGCGTCACCTTTGTCCTCAGTTCCCACAGCTGTGGCAGAGGACACGGGCAGGATTCTGAGGGGTCCAGCTCTTCACCCACACGTCTGTTAAGGCTGACAGTCACCTGACCGCGACACCCCTTCACTGGCGATCTCTGAGGTCTCTGCCAGGCCCTGGGTCTGCTGTCCCTCACACTGCATGTGCCATCAGTCCACACATCTGACAGTGTGCAGCCCACAGAAAGGAGGGGAGGCAGCACCAGTGCTGGCAGCCAATGCCAGGTCCAGGAGACCAGGGTGACTTCTCAGTCACCACATCCCATCCAGGAGACCCAGGTGACACCACCCCCCGTCACCACGCCCCATCCTGGAAGACAGGGGTCTCTAGTCAGCAGAGCTGGGTTCAAATGATACCCATGGCACACTCATCCTAGGAACAAATTTTCCTAGTCTAGAGGTTTTCCCTTAAAAGGAAAAGATACTTTTACATCCTCATTATGTAAACGATGTCCTAAAATAAATATGAAAATCCTAACAGCAAAACTGAGAAACAAGCCAATTTCCGGTTCTGGTCTCACAGGAGCCTCCCAATGCACCACCACAGCCAAGCCGGCCACTGCCAGAGGTCTAGGGGACCCCAGATCCATCAAGGGCTCCCCGGGAACAGACAGACAGTGTTTAAGTTAACCCAGAGGAAATAGTCCACCAACAGTGAATATTAACAGTTTCAGAGAGTTCAACCTAAACATAGCTTCCCATAAGGAGGACTGAGAGCCAGGGTGGTGCCAGCCCTTCCCGCTTCTTACCCTCCTTATTCCATGTGGATCCCCCGCCAAGGCAGCTGGTGAGAATGTCCCCCAGTGAAACCAATTCAAACACCATCCTGAAAACCAAACGGTCACTAGGAAACCAGCCTTCCCCTTCCTCAGCACATACGACCCTCCGAGAAGGCCACTCACGTCTACCTGCTTTCTACAAAACCAGGGTGGTCTCATTAACCAAGGCCAGGGTGCGGTCCTACGCTGTGTAAAAACAGTAACAATGCCGGTGCAGCACCTCTGTCTGTCCTTGCCAACAAGAAATACCTTCAATGAACAAATACATATACACACTTAAACAGGTATTATCAACACTAAAGCAAATTATAAAAAAGGGTAATGTTGCATAGATCCACTTATAAAAAAATAAGACAAGAAACATTTGATCAACTCCATATATAAGTCTTCATAATTATTTCTGTAAGGCTGCCCATCATGTTGATGCTGTTTTAAAAATTAGCACAGAAACTGTCAGAGTACGTCTGAGTGTGGGTATGTGGTGTGTGTCTTTTGTGAGACAGCGCGCACACGCACGAGAGCACGTGCACTTTTGTGGGCAACAGACAACTCAACATCTGTTGTCTATAACTTTGTGCTTTCCAAAAATCATTTCCTTGAGACAATCCCAGGCTGGAGGTTACTGAAATAAAGTGCAGTGCCATCTTCAGGGGCCTGCTGTGGGTAACACCTGCACAGCAAGGTGTGCTGCTCGCTGTGAGGCTGCACTGATGTGAGCCCGGGAGCACACCGCACGTATTCCTATCATTTCTAAACATGGACACGTCCTCTGCCTTCTTTCCTCACTATTCCCCTTACCCGGGGAGATGGGTGGGGAACTGAGGAAGGTCCAGGACAGACTCCCCTCCACCGCAGCCACTACAGCCACTGTCCCCCGCCCCCTTCTCAGCTGGGGCAACAGTGAGCACTCTGTGGACAGCAGGACCACAAGGACAGAGGAGCCACGGGACCACTCACCATGCTGGGCACCAGGGTAGGCACTCACAGACATCAATGCCCCAAACATCACTCTAGGCGGGGCAGACCTACAATTCTGCAAGTGATACAGAGGACAGCCTGCATGAAGGCCACTGCCCAAGCCATCACTGCCGGCAGAACGGCTGATGCTCTGCACCCAAGGCGGACCCCCACTATGTGGATGGCACGGCCAGCCCCTCTGACCACGGGCAGTCTGTTCTGCACACACATGTCCCTCCTCTCTGCCCAGTTTACTCAGAAGTGCTCCCTTTTCCACTACTCACTCTATCCATTCCTAAAGCATGAATAGAGTGACATGAGGGCTTCAGACAGGAGCAATTTATATTTTACCAACAATTCTCTAGGTGTTGGAGAATTTATCAGGTGGTCCCATGAAAATCAAATTTTACGATACTAAAAATATATTTCAACCCCTTAAAATGTAATCCACATAAGGACCTTTTCCACCAAAATAAGAATCAAGGAAAAATCCATTCAGGTCATTATGTGTATTTCAGGGTTACCTGTGAAATTCCCTAACTATGGTACAGCAGAGAAAAATTAACAAAACTAAACAGTTACCCTTATCACCACTCCCTCAAAAAAAGCCCTGAAGCCAAAAAAGTGAAATGTGTGCAAGTAAAACTCCTTTTAATATCCACAAGACACTCTTACAATGCCAGAACAAATACAGTTAAAAAGGAAATGAAATTTTATAAATATTTGTGGATCATCATTTTAGTTTCAGTTTGAGGTTAAAAAAAAAAAAAAAGTAGTGCCACAATAAGACGAAACAGCTAGTTACAGCTACTCTGACCAAAGATGGCTCTTTCAGCTTCACTTCTGCTGATGCCAGCAGCCTCGTACACAGTGGGTCTCTTCAGTCCTCACTGACACAGGCTGTGGGCTGACGGCAGCCACAAAACACACGCAAGCACAGAGCCAAGCGCAGAAGAACAAACTGCTGGGGAAAAAATCGTTTTTACAGACTAAATTATGGCACTCATAGTTCATTCAAAATAGCTGGCCATGGACAAGTGCTGCCTCCATCCCTGGACACTGTGGAAGGTCAGAGCTGCTAAAACGCTCAGAGTTGGCATTCTGCACTTGCAGGGCTCACACTTACAACTTAAATCCAAGTAACACAAGGACGGTGAAGATGCAAATAAGACTTTAAACTTCAACCCACCACACCTGAACCAATCCTTAAAAATTATACCACGGCATGAGCAGATTAGTCTACCCACAGGCGTGGCAGCTTAAAGACCGTCACACACATGGAAAAGCCGGCAAGAGGAACAAGAAAGAATCCAAGCACAAAGGCAGGAAGTAGGAAGGAGCCTTGGCACAGGGAAGCCCGACCCCAATTCACTGCCGTGCTCTTTGGCGTAGGGAGGAATGTGTGGCCAACAGAGGCGGAACTCTCATGGCGCAGGGACCTCAGGAGGGCACACAAGCTTCAGGTTCCACCGTGGCGGCACCTGCTGGCTCGGGGGACCTTCCTCTCGCTGCAGCTCTGACTCCCAGCACTAAAGCAACAGTGACTTGCCCCCGGGGCTGCTGTCCAGAGTGGGCCTCAGCCTGCCCCTCCACTCTCTGGGCAGCCCTGGGAAGGAGGCACAAAGACCCTCCTGACTCAAAAACCCACCTGTATTCTTTCTTCTGGTTACTTCAGGAAAATGCTACACGTTCATTAAGACCTGACAAACACACTAATTAAGGTAATAACAGAGAAGAGCATAAACGCAGCACACGTCCACAAGCACTGCTCTTGAATGGCTTTGCATTTTAGGAAAGTAACAGTCCCAGTGACTTTCAATGTCATTTTTAGGACAGGCCCTCAGAAAGATGAACTTTCTGTTCATCTTCCTCATCACTCCATCAGTAATTCTTGAAGAACTTCCAGAGATACAAATTTAACACTTGCATCGTGCTTTCTGGAAACCTCATTCAATGTATAAGTTCCCAGGCGTAGGGGGCATAGTGCGTAACCGGAAACATGCTGGACGCTTGGAGGTGCCGCGGACACAGCCACACTCCCAAACGGGACGTGCAAAGGGAGGTTGCTTTGGGTTTTCCTTCTCTGCGACTGCTGTGAGTTCTAACTTCCTTTCCTTTCACTGCATTGTTCAAGGCTGCTGTTTCCTTTCTGGGCTGCAGATGCTTTAGTAACAAATAGGAAGTTCAAACAAATCTTAATCTTTTTATATTTGAGCACACCCAGGAAACAGTAACTATCCAGGGTCTTCAAAAAAAAAAAAAAACAATAGAAGACAACAAAATATTCACTGAGCATCTGGCATGTTCACCCTGAGCTGACCTGCTGACAGTTTTAGCCGAATGCGTATAACATCCCTGTGAATGAGTTCCTTCTGGAAAGGAAGCTGAAGCCCAGAGGAGGAGGAAATCTGCCCAAGGCTGCAGAGCCTGAAGGGAGCAGCCAGAGCCGAGTCCACTGTGCTGCCATGTCTGAGCTGTCCTAGGACACCCCCGCAGTGCCACACCTGAGCCCCAAATGTGCTTCTAAAGAGGCAACCAACACCTGTTCACTGAAGAGGCTTTAAGTTGAAATGTTCGGTTAGGCTGAAGTTAAATATTTAAGTTAGAAAGAAAATGGCATTTATCTTCATGCTACTAAAACAATACTTTTTCCATTTATGGTTTTGAAAATATGTGAATTCCTGTTTTCAAAAGAAATTATGAAATGTTTTGTAAAACACTGATACAAATCTTTGGTCTCTTTTAGAAGCAGAAAGTGAGCCTCTGAGCTCTCTAAGCCCCGGTGTGGTCTCCTCCAAGCCAATCCTCAAACAAATCAATCCTTAACACTAACAACCGAGATCCTCCTCAATAACTGAAACAGCTGAGAAACATCTTCCTCCAATTCGCAGGAAGCAGACACTGTCTTGCCTCACAAAATAAGCAAAACATTTGTGCATTCTCTGTTGCACTTGTTTTTAGTTTCAGGTTGAAAAGCTAATGGTCTCCAACGTAATGTTTTGTGTATAAAACCTAATATTAATCTGAAATGGGATACTTTTTCTTACAGCTGATGTAACTCGGGTTCATGTACTTCCAGTTCTAAGAACGGAGAGAAACATGATTCCAGGACCCTTGACTAAGCTTGTGGCTACACCCCAGAACGCTTACCGACCCCTTCAACCTATTAACCAAAGGGCTTCAGGCTGTAGGGAAGACATCAAAAAAGATTTGTCTTTTTACAGAAATACCATCATTTCAAAGACTTCCTACCAGTACTTCTCAAGCACTAATTCTGAGGGGTAATTAAAATTCATATCCTTTAATAACCAAGGGACTATTGGCATCATCCTATTTCATGCACTATTTGAAGGACAGAGCCATCCGCCCTCCCCGCTGCCCAGGTGCCCGGCGAGCGAACCTGTGTTCCGTGAGGACGTTCACTGCAGAAGGGTGATTGGCACAATACGTGAGGTACAGGGTTTTCATCTGTGGCATCAGGTTTAAAAAGCAGCCTCCGACTCTCTGCTGAGCTTCGGGCAACCTGGAGAAACGCAACACAGAGGGAAAGTCATCAGTTTTACAGACGGGACAACCGCGAACCGACAGACATATAACACTCTGAGGAAGGAAAACCTCCTTTTGCACCTGTCTGTGAAAACAAGAGGCCCCGATCCCAGCACACACCAGGGAGAAGCGGCGCCGAGAAAGCAGCTCTGCTGCCAGGTCCTCTCCGGCAGTGTTCAGACTGCCAGGACCGTGCACGGCATCTCGACCAACCCTCAGGCCCAAGCTCTTTGGGCAGCGAGAAAAACAGATGTCACACAGCCTTCAGCTTTGCATAAAGGAGAATTATTGAATGTAGTTATTCAGTCTGTGAGGTTTTCTACCAAAGCAGTAGAATCAAGACTAACAAAAAAATACAAAAACCGCCTTTCCCTTCAGGTTAGAGACTGGAAAGCGAGCCCACCTATCAGGTGCCTCTCCTCCCCAGATCCACAGCATCCTGACAGCTAATAGGCTTTTCCAAGAAGCATAAACTCACGAGAACAAAAAGAATGAGGAAGAGACGACCAGAACCAGCACTGGAAGCTGCATGAGGGGTCAGCACAAGCTTCGGGCATCAGGGCCCCCGGTGGTGCCGCCTCAGTGGGGCGTGTGCCTAACGGGGTACGGGCTCACCTCTCTGGGCCTCAGAGTTTCTGGAGGACACCAGCAACAACCCGGAGCAGGGGCACGTGTGCTGAAAACAGGAGACCCACGTGAACTCCTACCACCTTCCCTGCACCCCAGGCTGTCTTTGCTCCCCAGATACCCACAACATTACCAGAAGGATTACATCCTCCTACCCAGGGAATGGGAGCCACAGAAAAAGTGACCAAAAACATGAACACCAGAGATTCCTCCAGAAAACACGAGTCAGCCAGTCCCAACTCTCGGACAGCACTTCCAAAGCGTTTTCAGTGTACCAACCTTAATTATAAGAAGGCATGAAAGGACGACAAATACATTTGCCTAAAAAGCGGGGGGAATAAAGAAGCAAAGGGGAAAAAGGAAGTATTATAGTCATTCCACATCGGAATAAAAGTTGCTGATACAGAAAACCAAATATATAAGCATAAGTCAATCAAAGAAATCATCACACGACTAAACAGAAAGAGTGCAAGGCACAAGATCGAAGGTGTCCACAAGCATTGGCACGAGGTCAAAAGAAAACCGAGGCCCCAGACAACAGCAGAGTCATTCAGAAGCCCAGAAACAAGGATGCAAAGAGCTCTGAGAAACACCTGTTCACACCAAGAATGCGGAAAAGCATGGGCCTCCTCAGCACCAGAGCCCAGAAACACTGAAGCACCCCTTGAAACGGGGGCGGAAATCGCTTCCTCTAACTGTCTCCGTCTGAGTCAACCGTGAGCGCTCACATGGATTAACTGCCTGGCATGCACTCGCTCCTCAGGAAGCTCCCAGAGCAGGCACTTGACCAAAATGACTGAGGAATGCCAAAAAAAAAAAAAAAAAAAAAAGGGAAAGACGTCAGCATCCAACACAAAGGTGGACGGAGCCCGGGACTAGGGTCCTGGCCTACAACTCATGGGGACACTGCTTCTGCTCTGCCGTCCCTCTGATGAGCACACGGCGTCAGTCCACCCCAGCTGGGAACAGAACACGGTGGACTGGGTCATTTACCCACAACAGAAATGCACTGCCCACAGCTCTGGAGGCTGGAAGCCTAAGACCAAGGCACCCGCAGGTGGTCCCTTATTGCATCCTCACGGGGGGAAGGGGCAAAACAGCTCCCTCACAGCTGTTACAAGTGTGCTGATCCTATTCACGAGGGCTCCATCCTCATGACCTAACCACCTCCAAGGCCCACCTTTTAATACCATCCAATTGGTGATCATCTGTAATAACAGATGATCTGGGGAAACACATTCAGACCACAGCACGCTCTGGCTCCCAACTGTCTGCTGGCCTTTCAACCCTGCAGGCAGCACCTCAGGCCCAGCTGGTTCCACCTCTCCTCCAGTCTCTGGGTGTCTCCGCCTTCATGCGCACTGCTTTCCGCACTGCGGCTGCTAAGTAGTGGCTGGAGAAAGTCACAGTCAGGAGAATCAGCGAGTCACAAGTATTAGGAAAAATCTCTTGTTCAAAACACAGAGCACTCAAAATTCATGCTGACTTGGTCTTCTCCCTGTTTTTCAACAATTTTTTATTCATTCCTTAATAACTGTTAACCAGTGCTCAAAAAGACTGTTCTGTTCTCATCAATTTAAGAAAATTTACTGAGCTCTTATCAGTACGTCCTACAATAATAGCTGTGGAGACAGAAAAGCACAGGAAGTAATGCTGTGACAGAGGTTCCAAATCCCACCACCCACCATTTTCTCTCCTCAGACTCTCAAGCATTCCCAGCACAGCAGGTTGTCTTTTTTTTTTTTTTTTTTTTTTTTGAGATGGAGTTTCTCTCTTGCTGCCCAGGCTGGAGTGTAATGGCGCCATCTCAGTTCACTGCAACCTCCGCCTTCTGGGTTCAAGCGATTCTCCTGCCTCAGCTCCCGAGTAGCTGGGATTACAAGCATGTGCCACCAAGCCTGGCTGGGCCTTCCCTTCTAGACTAGATAACATGTCAGTTTTATAAAACATGGGCTTCAGGAAAGAGGTGAGAATAAACCTCTGCTTCTAAAAACATAGCAATATGTAGATGTCAAAAGTAGTTACTGTAAATAATACAGACAATAGAAATGTAAAATGTAGGTAATAAAAATATCCCACACAGGTTCAGGTGGCTGATCTGTGTAAGAACATCTACCAAATGTAAGCGCTCCCTCCACATACTAGTCTCTTCCCTGTGCTGTGTAAAAAAAGGCCAACACCTTCCTTCAATATTTAAATCTCTTTCCCTCTCTTAGCTCTCCCTTGATCTCTCTCCGAGCAAGACATGTCCCCACCCAGAATACTGGAGGGAGCTCACAGAAGCACAACAGGTACCTTCAGGGATTCAGAATTTAGCGGGGTCTGTAACAGCAGGGACCTCGCCCACAGCATAAGGAGGCTGAGGAGTAGGATGTAGGGATGTAGAAGTCTTCCTGCTGGTGGCAGTGACAGACAGACCTCCGCGCAGACGCGAGGCTGTCCCACCTGCCTTCTCTGCCATGCTTCTTTACCCTCAAATCCAACAGCCACTAGCCACCTCTGGCTATTTCAAGTAAGGTTAATTAAAACTTTTTTAAAAATTAAAAATTCAGTGTTTCAGTTGCGTTAGTCTCATTTCCAGAGTTTCACAGCCCCATCTGGCTAGAGGCTACTGGAGTTTGTCTAGCAGATACAGCACGTTTCCCAATGCAAGCTCTTAACAACACTTGTCTAATTCATCCACGATGGAATGAATGTCTAATTCATTCCAAATCCTGAATGTATCATGCAGGCAGTTATTACGGTGCTTTACTGTTTAGTTTATTTTTTTATTTTTTTATTTTTTTGAGACAGAGTCTCGCTCTGTCGCCCGGGCTGGAGTGCAGTGGCCGGATCTCAGCTCACTGCAAGCTCCGCCTCCCGGGTTCACGCCATTCTCCTGCCTCAGCCTCCCGAGTAGCTGGGACTACAGGCGCCCACCACCGCGCCCGGCTAGTTTTTTGTATTTTTTAGTAGAGACGGGGTTTCACCGTGTTAACCAGGATGGTCTCGATCTCCTGACCTCGTGATCCGCCCGTCTCGGCCTCCCAAAGTGCTGGGATTACAGGCTTGAGCCACCGCGCCCGGCCTGTTTAGTTTATTAAAACACAACAGAGGGCAAAGTAAGCTAGCATCTGCACTGCTGCAGACCCATTTCCAACTCTTAACAGCTAAGCGGGGTTTCCATAGCCTACAGGGATTAGCCACAGTTCTGTCCATTTGCAGGATAGTCACTGACTCAAATTAATTTCAACTACTGTATGTATGCAGCACCATTACAAGGCACTGGGAACAGACTAAAAACAGGGTAACAGTCTCTACCTTAAAGTGAGTGCTATCATTTTGTACAAAAGTAAACTGAAGACAATTATGTAGTCTCAGTGATACAAGCTACAAACATACTGCTGCCAGCCTACAGAGGAGGAAGGACACGCCCCTTAATCCAGGTTCTTAAGACACAGGTTTTGAGAATATTCTGACATCGGAGCGGGTGACGTTCACATGCAGACACACAGCGAAACATCGGGAAGAGGCTGGCTTCTAGAATGACAGAACCCTGAATGCCCCACTGGGAGGACTGAAGAGAACTGGTAATGATGGAATGCCAAAGTTGCATGCACAAAAAAACACTGCCAGAGATGTGGCACAGGAAAATTATTGGATATGTACTACCTAAAATGGGTTATTCTTATGATTGCAGAAATACTGCTCAGTGCTGGACCCTGGGCTATGCTAAGATTTCATCTCCTACCCGGCCAGTGCCACAGCCCATGATCCATTCAGAAATGAAAATCTAGATAAATTTTCATTTCTGATATTTCATCAATTAACAAAAATTAAGTCGTATTTATAAGCATAGCTTATAAACAAACAATTCACTGTACGAGTGGTTTTTCCTATTTCAGTCACTGCACTGAGCCTAAGCTCTAGATTTTTATTACCTCTTTCAGTCCCAGACCAATTCTCCAAGAATTTTCTGTCACCGAAGTTTCATAGCTGATAAAGCCCTTGTTCATTAATTCAGTAGCCGATAAAGCTTATAAAGGTCAGCTGAGCCCTAGGACTCGAGCATAACGTGCCAACATATTCCACACATAACGCTGCCCAGATACCTGAGTTCACACGACAACCAACCACTCGCAGAAATCACCACTACAGAATATGAGTTCAGAATTAAAGGAGAGGATGTTCCCCTCAGCTCTCTCTTGTGCTCCACAGGCCGCTCTTCAGAGTGTGATAATGTGCAGGCAGGGCACCCTGTGGGGGCTACATCAAGGCCTTGGGCAGCAGGATGGTGCACATGGGTCACAAGAGGCAGCACGCATCATGCCAGCTGCTCCCACCAGGCCTCCTGGCAGAACCCAAGCCATG